TATATATATATATATATATATATATATATATATATATATATATATATGTATGTATTAAAAAATTAAATGTGTCCAGGGACTTGTACTGACAAAAGTTGAAGGTCTTTCATTTTTGGGGGGAGGCAGTTTGAGACAGGGTTTCTTTGTGTATTTTTGGCTGCCCTGGCACTCACTCTGTAGAGCAGGCTGGCCTGAAATTCACAGAGATCCCCTTGCCTTTGCCTCATGAGTGCTGGGATCAAAGGCGTGTAACCTCTACCACCCAGCTAGCTGAAAAGTTTTAAATCTGGGAACAATGGACTCCTCACCACCCTGAAGGATGAGACAGGAGGATTGCCACAAATTTGGGGCCAACCTGGGCTACATGACAAGTTCCAGACCAGCCTAGGCTATGAAGGAGGTGCTGTCTCACCTTTCCCAACCTCCCCAAATAGCAACTCAAGTCTTGCTTACTCCCGGGGTGTCACTAAGAAGTTGTCCTGTTGTTTTGAGCCAGTTGGTCTGAAGGTAAATGTGAACATGAAGAGAATGAAGAGGAACTCAGAAGGAGAGAAATGTATGCCGGGGTGGGTCCTATGAGCACAGGAGAACTCTTGAGGTAGAGGGGGGAAATTCTGAAAAGGTTGGTTCATCCTCAGCAAAGGTGGAGGAAGCAGTTTGGCAGGAAGCAATCCTGGAGGGGTGGGGGTGGAGTTTGGAATTATGATGTCAACTATTATAGAGAAATGTTTGACTCATCTTTCCTCACCCTCTTGGCCTTATTCCCAGGTCTCACACCCCTTTTCTGATACTGGTAGGTTTGTCAGAACAGGAAGAAGAGTCAAAAAGAAAATAGCAACTACTCTTTACACTTGGGGGGTGGGAGTTAGAATGATCTCTCCATTTAGTCCAACAAGAATGCTTCTCCCACAGTGTTGAGAATGAGGCTTTTGCATGTTCTCTGGTGCCTAGTTAATTCCCGGGGTTCTACAAAGAGATCCTCCTCTGAAGGTGGATCTGTGGAGGGTGCTGGAAAAGGAAGTGGCTGTTTCAGTTTCCTCCTTCTTCCTCCTCAGAAAGTTAGCTGTTTGATGATCAGAGGCTGTCCCTACTGAAAGGTCATGCACAGCATGCGGGGTGTGGACCCTGACGGGAACAGGCCTGTTTCCAGGCCTATTTTCCTCCTCCTTACCCCTTTGCCCCCTCCTGTTTGCAGCCACACTATAGCCATTGTCTCTTGGTTACTGCCAAGGAGTGTGCTCATGCAACTAATGTGTTGGAGTTGAAGTCCTAAGTGAGTCCATTAATATACACATGGGACCAAGAGAAAGTTCATGCAGAGTCTCTGAAACAAATGACACTTCACAGACACCAAAACATTACTGGATGCAAAAGGATCTCGGTGATCTTCACAGCAGAGAAGCTGGGGAGAACCAGGAATGTTCTCCGTGGTGACTCTCTCTATTCACTGTGTTCCAGGCACGCTTCTAAGCATTCCACACGTATGAAGACAATCTGTCAGGTAGCCCAGGGGGTGAGGACTATTGTTTTTATCTTATTTTAGAGACAATGGTCTATTATAGCTCAGATTGGCTATGGCTATACAGAGTGGCTTTCAATTCCTGCTTCCATCTCCCAGCCACTAGGGTTTTATAGACGTGTGCCACCATGTGCCACTTTTCCTGTTACATGTGAACAACCAAGGAGTCGAATGACTTGTCCAGGGTCACACAGCAAGTGAGAGTTTTGAGATTCAAAGTCAGGCTTCAGAACTACCAAACTAAGCTGCCTCCTGTGTGTGTGCTCCATTGGAGCCTTTGGTCTACCCTCTGAACACCTGACAGAGAATTACAATTGCTTGCCTTCATGCCAGATAAATTACTGTCAGAGACCGCAACACACACACACACACACTGCTTGTCACATAACTGGCTCAGTGTTTACTGAATGAATAAATCTGGGACACATGAACGATTTTTCCCTTCCCAGCTCACTGCCTGTTTTCTTCAACTCTTTCCAGTATTAAGTCGTTGGACATTTCTCACCACCCACATTAACCTTTACACATTTTCTGTTTGGATAAAGACCCGTAAATGAACTTCACGGATGAGGACACTATGTGGAGAACAGTCTGCGGACACCGGATCCAGTACAACTATTCTTTCCTTCCCAGAGCAATGGTATACTCCCATCACTCCATTGTCCACATTGTCCTTAGGCTGTTTGTATGCCTGGCAGACTCGATTATGAAACCAAGTCCAAGGTGACCCATCCATTAAGCCATCTGCTCCTTCCTCCCTTTTTTCTCCATCTTCTCTCCTTCATCTCTTCCTCCCCTCTGGTAAGGTTTATGAGGGGTCGGGGGAGGACAGATTGTCTTTCGTTAGGGAGCTGAGGCATAGAAACTGCACCTTCTTGATCGGAACCCGGAGAATTTGCCAACTTTGTTCGTAGGATGATGGCGAGACTGTATCTGAGAGGCTAAAAAGATAGGATATTTGACTGGAACAGTGGACAGGAACGCACTGCTTTGTTGGTCTCAAGTTGGGAAAGCCAACCAACTCTGCTTCGCATCGTGGACTGAAGACACTGTTCCCCCCCCCCCCAAATAAAAATAATAAAATTGCGATCAGATTATTGAAACCGGCGGTCCCACGCCAGCCAGATTCTCTCTTCCAGCCAGGGACCTCGTCCGCAGTCGGCGTTCGGGCTAGAGCTCACTCCAGCTGGACTCCCGGAGTCCGGTCGGGGTCATCGCCCACTCCTCACAGACGCCGCCTTCCGGGTCGGTGACCCCGGAGCCGGAGGGCGGGGCCGCGCCGGGTGGGAGCGGAGGAAGAGGCCGGCGTTCCGGGAGCGCGCGAGGCCGCCCGCCCGCCCGCCCGCGTGCGCGCGCGCGCCCACCCTCGCGCCCGCTTCCCCCCCACGCCCACGCCCGCGCCCGCCCGCGCTCCCGGGAAGTCTCGCGATGCGGTAGCCGGCTGCTCCTGCTGCGGGCGGCTCGGGCTGTTGCTGTGGTTGCCGGAGTTGCGGCGGCGGCGGCGGCGGCGCTGGCGGGGGTGGCGGCCCCGGCGGATGTTGACATTGTGTTGTTGTTCCTGCCCACGGTAATGGCGGCGGCGGCGGCGGCGGCCGCGACCCGGTCTCCTCAGTAGCCGGAGTCGACACTGCCGAACGCCAGCTCCGCGGCCTCCGCGCCCGTCGCCTCGCCAGCCGTTCCCCGCGGCCGCCCCAGAGCCAGGGCCCCGGGCGGGGGGCTCGCCGGCGCGGGATGGCGGATTTCGATGAAATCTACGAGGAGGAGGAGGACGAGGAGCGGGCCCTGGAGGAGCAGCTGCTCAAGTACTCGCCCGACCCGGTGGTGGTCCGCGGCTCCGGGCACGTCACCGTGTAAGGCCCTGCGAGGGCTAGGACGAGGACGGGAGGCGCGGGCTGGGTGGGCCCCAGTACCCCTCGGGGTCCTCCTTCCTTGAACCCCCGGTCCCCGGTGTCTGGCGCGGGACGGGCCCTTCGGGAAGCTCCGGCGATCAGGAAGTGGGAACTTGCTCCGTTTCCATTAATTTAGGACTCCCAAGTGGGGACACTGCCTCCCCTTCCTCCTACAGGCCCCAGCGGCCCGGGGGGGATGTTTGGGATCACAGCAAGGAAGATGGCTCTTTAGGGTCTGCCTTATGGGCCATCCCTACAGCCTAGGGGTGGAAGTGCATGTATATTTTGTGGGATCCACCTTTGTAACACCCCCTCCCACCACCCCGTTACTCTTTGGGACACTGCCTTCCTTACAGCCTATTGACATATGGCTCAGAGGTCAGATCTGAGGTGTAAGATCCCAGGGGCAGTTGGCAAGTGAGGTTCAACTGTCCTGTGTCTGTCACGCATACCCCACAGGGCTTCCGAGTAAATTTCTGCAAAACTAATTAGAAATATACAGGTGGATGTAAAAATAGAATGATACATGGTTGCCACGAATTACAAGTACTGAGTTTCCTGTAATGGTTCTGTTTTGGGGCACAAACTCTACGTTGGCTTCTTGTTTGATAAGGGTTCCTGTGAGGCTTATTAGCAACATCAGAAGTCCAATATTATTTCAAACAATAAGGGATGAAAGCACTCCGAAAGATCATGACTAATAAAGGAATGTAGACTTGAAGCAAATAATGAGCTGTCCGGAAGGAGGAAGTTTTGCAAGTTTTGTAACGTTTCCCTGATAAATCCCGAGTTTGTACAACTTGGGGTATTGATACTCTTTTTTGCAGCTGATATCTCCAGTTAAAAAGTCATAGCTCAAACTTCCTGTGCTTCTGTATCATTGGTTGATAAAACAAAAAAAAAAGTCATAGCTGAAACTTCCTGTATCTGCATATCACCGTATCATTGCTATAAAAAGGCAGCGAGTCTGAAGACGTCTGGAGCGCACGTTTCATTGTGTTTTGATGTAGGGTGAGTGGGATGTGCTGTGAATAAGTCAGTTGAACAGTGAGACGCCTCAGAAGATTGTCAGCAGATTGCCTGCATTTCTCTGCGTTGCTGAGAACAGTCACCCTGACTAGCCATGTTGGTGTTTGGGTATGCTTATGTAATGCTTTGGTTTTTTAGCACCTGGTATGTGTGTGTTTAGGGGACTTAACAGGGTAAAAACCACTGCATAATCATTGTCCCAGTACCAGGACAGGGAGATAGGACTTAGCACTATAATAACAGCTCTGTTTTGACTGTCATCACAAGCTTAATTAAGGAATATATTCAATTATGAATAATAGTTTAAATGTATATCACAGCGCTTTCAGTGTCATAACTTGCTATTTAATTTTTAGTTGAACTTTAAGGACTTTTCCCCCCCTTATTTTAAACTTAAGGACTGTGAGTGCCTTAAGAAGCAATTACAAATTTAAAAAAAAAAAAAAAAAAAAGGACATAGCTTGTATCTTTAATCCCAGCACTCAGGAGGCAGAGGCAGGTGGATCTGTGTTACAGGCCAGCCTGCATGTCATAGCAAGTTACAGAACAGCCAGGGCTACATAAAGAGAGACACGGGCTCAAAAGGATTTCTAAACCTTTTCATGTTGTCTGTAATGTTCCTTAAAACCCTCACGTCAAATCAAAGTTGGCAGAATTTTATTTACAAAGGTTCAGCTAGGGCTAGGATGCATCTCCATGGTAGAGTGCTTGCCCTGGTTTCCGAACAGCAAGACAAGAGGGTTCAAGTGTAGTTGTGATGTCTCTTGTGTTCAAGGAGAAAAGCTGAACATTTTGTTGGGAAGAGAATAGGCAAAGTGCTCAGTCAGAAAACTTGATTTTCGTTGACTTTTTGGAGTGGTTAACAGGTTGAAAAATAATTATTAGTGAGTTTTCATCTTATCTGTCTGTTAGAATCATCTGACATTGTGCTCAGTAAATAGTAGGCTGTATTATTACAGTTTTATAAATAAGTCCTTCCATTTGCAAGTCTAACAGTGATTCATTTTGTCTAGTTTATCTACCCATTAAAGTCATCTTGGGAGACCAGCTTTTGCTCCAGCCCCTTTGAAGGCCAGTGGTCCACATATGAATGAAGCTCTAGTTCATGAGTAGTTTCTGATGGATTGGGGGAGGGCCTTGTAGATGACTCTACTCCAGACACTGGTGATGGTGGCGTTTGCCACAGTAGCCATAAGCCTTAATGTTTGTGATCTTCCTTAGACACTTGTCCCTATAGTTGGGTTGTAACCTTCCTGCACTCATATAAATTACCCATCTCTTCAGTTCATGATGGTAGCTATAGTTCATACCTTTCCAGTTTAAGGATTAAATGAGATAATGTATGCAAAGAACATGCCAGTGGGTGTTGCTGTGTTCAGGAAGCACTAGCCTTTATTAATTATTACCCTTCTTAGGTAATTTTCTACTTTGAGAAACATTTGTGTAAAAGATAGCAGTAAGAAAAAAAAAATATAGCAGTAAGAATTCAGCATGCCATTTTCAAACCAAATAGTGATTCATTTAGCTGATTCTTTTTATATTCTGAGACAACTTATATATATATATATGAGTCCTTGTATAGTGAAACTTAAGACTATTTGTGGTGATATAGATTTGTATAGTAAAATAAAGCTTACATATGACCACCATGCATGACGTTAGCCATACAGTTACTAGACTGTATAGCCAAGTTAGCACATATAAAGAGTTTTGAAATTGGCGCTTATATACCATTAAGCCTGTTATATGTGTTTCATTTTCCTTTCCTTTGTAAGTACCATGAAGAAAAGCTACTAGTAATTATAGTAAAACATGGGCTTGAGAAATGGCTCAGCAGTTACGAGCATTTGTTGCTCCTACAGAGGATCAGGCTTGGTTCCCATCACCCACATGGTAGATTACAACTACCCATAACTCCAGTTACATCAGGTCCAACAAAATGCTCACACACACACACACACACACACACACACACACATCTTTAAAAAATTAAAAATTCTAGTAAAACATGTAAGCTTATTTCCCCTTTTTGCTGAGGAGTTGGTTAAAGCACTCTTTCCTTATCATTTTGAAAGAAATGATATAAACATTGCAGTATTTCTGTAATCAAGTCAGACTGAAAAGATTTAGATCTACCTGTATGCTTGCTTTTGCAGTTGAATATTTTTAATTTTTCTACATAAGCTCAGTATACTCTTATTTTAGAAATCATTTTATTCTCTTGTGATATGTTCTTTCTTGATATTTTAGAGAAATACTATTTTTTTCATTGTTAGTTTTGCATGTAGCAGTTGAATTTTGTGTAGAATTGCATTTTGAAGAAAAATCATAGAAGAAAATGACAGATTCCTATGGCTTTATGTATACATGTAAGTGACAAACTTAGTAGATAGTGTTGGTCAGACTGGCCAATACTATTTTTTTTTTTTTTTTGAAGGGCATAAGTAATAATGCAAAACACACTGACATGGTATTTACATACAACTTTTCTCTTACAGTCAGAGCTCAACAGATTGGTGAGTCCACATTACATGGCACATCACTTAATACATCAGTATTTACAGATTTTTTTTTTTTTCCAGCCTTCATTAAGTTGTTTGATGGGACAGAACCACAGGAAAGCCATGGTGCCCAAGGTCAGCAGCTTCCAGCCAATCAGGTTTTGTAGTTAGTGGCCACTCTGACCATGTCAAAAAGCAGCTTAGCCAGGCAGGGTCCAGGAGCTAGGTCCAGAAACTATGAAAGGTACGTGCAATTGGTGCATGGCACTGGATGGCATCGATTTATAATCTTAAATTTTGTAGTTCTTTATCTCAGAATAAAATATCTTGCTGCTCTATTGGAGACTTTGATGTCAGGTATTTTTTAAAGTCCTGGTACTCACTTTGTGTATATGTGTGTGGCACATGATCTTGTGGAGTGAGGGTACCTTCAGTGTGGGTTCTTGTTAGGCTTGGCAGCCAGCACCTTTGCCTACTGAGCCATCTTGTCAGCCCAACTTTGATGTATTGTAAGGATGACTACTCTCAAGGAATGTGTTAGTAGAAAAGAATTTTTAAAAGTTGAGGAAAATAATTTAAAAAGTAATTGAACGCTTGTATTACCTGGATAACCTACCATTATTGACGATGTGACAGTCATTATTATGTTTTATTTCGTGCTCATCCAATAGCTGAGTCAAACTTGAAGCTTTCCTAGAGTGAGCATCATCTTTGATTTCTAACTTAAGTCGTATTCTTCATTTTTTTTGTTAAGAAGTAAAATTCAGAAGCCTTTAACTAAACCGCTCAGGCAGAGGCAGGCAGATCTCTGTGTGTTCGAGGCCACCCTGGTCTATACAGTGAGTTCCAGGCAAGCCAATAGAAAAATCCTGTCTTAGAAAAATGTAAGTAAGTAAACTTCAACAGAATAAATTATAGAGGGAACTATTTTCATGGGAAATATGAAGGGAAAGAAGCTGAGTATTTAATAGGTAAATTTTAGTGGGTAAACTGTCTTGAAGAAATGAGAACTAGAGCCAGCTAGTGACTCCGTGGTGAAAGCCTTTACTGCACAACCAGAGTTGATCTCCGGATCCCAGGAAAGGATCCCTTGATCCATGCAAAGGTGGAAGGATAGAACTGACTCCACAAAATTGTCCTCTGACCCCACTGTGGCATGCACTTCTCCCATAGAAATAAAATAAGGGAGAAATACGGTAATGAGTAGAGGTTTCAACATTGTACTGTATTTGAACTTGAAAATTTACGAATGATTTGAATTCGGAGTTTGAAGTTAGATTTGTTATTACTTAATTGACTAACACTTTAATTTTTATGTGGCCAGCTAATACAGGGGCTAAATAGTGAAAAGTTTAGCTGTGTACTCAGGAATCTTTTAATTTAGGTGTAGTGACTGTAATCCCAAAGGAGGCTGGAAGACTACTGAGTTTG